ATTTGTTTATTTTTATCCTCACCCGAGGACATTTTTTGATATTTTGTTCAGATAGAGTGGGAGGGAGAGAAGGAGAGAGAAACATCGATGTGAAAGGGACACATCGAGTGGCTGCCTCCTGCATGACCCAACCAGGGCCAGGGACGAACTGCAACCGAGGTACGTGCCCTTAGCGGAAACCGAACCCGGGTCTCTCTGGACCACAGGCCAACGCTCTAACCGCTGAGCCAAACCGGCCAGGGCTTGATTTTATTTTTAGACAGAGGATATACTCACAGCCACGGCTGATGTTGACTAACACAAATGACTTCAATAGCTCTGACATGCTGGCAAAACAAGTTCCATGAGTTTTATGCGCACACGTAGAAAATGGCCGGGGTATTCGGCCGGTGTGGCTCAGCTGCTGAGCGTCAACCCCTGCACCAAGAGGTTACTGGTTCGAATCCTGGTCAGGACACATGCCCAGGTTGTGGGCCCGATCCCCAGTGGGGGGCATGCAGGAGGTGGCCAGTCGATGTTCTCTCTCATCAATGTTTCTATCTCTCTTTCCCTCTCCCTTCCTCTCTAAAATCAATAAAGGAATATAAAAAATTTTAAAAATATCCTTGAGATTCTTAAAAAAAAAAAAAAAAGAAAGAAAGAAAAATGGCCAAGGCATCCCAGTAACAGGGTGTTGATACTGAAGAATCGCGGAAGTCATAGTCCAGATCTCTCATTTTACTGACAAGGAAAGTCATTTTTCTTCGACTGTGTCAAGAAAAAACTAGAAGATATTTAAACAGGAAGAAAAAAACAAATCACTGGGGTCCCTTCTAGCACAGCCTTCCAGGTTTATCTAGTTCTATAGGGGTTGAGACTAGTCTTTAAGCTATTTGATAACTTAGTACGTCTTAGAAAACTTACAGTCATGCAAATACTGCTCGTCCATAGAAGTGCAAGTGAACGTTTTCATGTGGAATATAAGAGATTATGGCCCTGTGGATATTAGCCAGTTTTCCATCTGTCTGCAGATTCATCTCGGCATTCCTAACGACGGCAGATGTGTTTGCTTGTTGGCCAGTGATACAACCTTACTGGTTCCTTCATGAGTTAACGTGGAACCAAGTCACAGCCGCCGGCTGTCTCAGTTCCCCATTTAGCGTTCAAGGGACAGACTGGCCAACAGAGCCTAGAGTTTTACTTTGGGGGGGGTCCAGATATGAGAGGGGAGGGGCGAGCTTGCTTTCTCTGTCCCCAGGTGATTGTGGGAAAAGAAAGGAGAGAGAGGCAGCGACGCACAATGGTCAGATCCAGGTCCCAGCGCTGGTTACGGAACAAGAAGATCTGTGGTTTCCTGGACTGAGCCCCGTCCCCCTGAATCAGCCTATGAATGTGGGCCCCAAGCATACGCAGCGTTGAAAATCCCTGTTCTAGGGTCACAAAATACTTTGAAACTATGAAAAAGGGAGAGGAATAACAGATTAAATGAAGCAAGAAAAAACCCTACGGCTCTGATCCAGTTCCGTTTTCGATGGGGAGAGACCTGTGGACAATGACACCCATGTCTTTGTCGCAATGGTTCGAATGCAGGTCTGTTTGGCAGGGTTACCTTGTATGTCACTCACAGAAACTACCAGAGAGGGTCTTCATGTGGTCCTCCAAGCCCAGCAAAGGCCTCACCTTCGGTGCTGTTTCTAACGAGAGCTGCAGAACCCCCGCAGGCCCTGCTGCACGAGGGAAGAGGTCAAGTCGGGACCCTCTCCAATGGGGACGTTTACTTTTACAATGAACAAAGAAAATATGTTATTCTTTGAGATTTGTTGGTCTGTTTGGCGATTCAGAACTTAAACTTAGAAGACAAGTTCTTTTTTTTTTTTATCCTCCTCACCCGAGGATATTTTTCCATTTTTTGTACAGATAGAGTGGGAGGGAGAGAGAGGGAGAGAGAGAGAGAGAAACATCGACATGAAGGGACACATCGAGTGGCTGCCACCCACATGACCAACCAGGTCCGGGGACAAACTGCAACCGAAGTACATGCCCATAGCGGGAACCGAACCCGGGTCTCTCCGGACCACAGGCCGACGCTCTAACCGCTGAGCCAAACTGGCCAGGGCAGAAGACAAGTTCTAAGAGAGGAGCTGCGCCCAAGCTTCACCCACCCGGTGGAAGCCAAGCTCTTTCACGACGGGGAAGAAGGTACCTTACAGAGCTGCGAAAGGAGACAACCTGTGTTCGGGCGGCGGGGCCACCACAGGGCACTCGGGGCCAGGTCAACTGATTGCCACAGCACCCTGATCGTACCTCTGCTCTTAAAGGTGCCAAAAGCAGCGGGGTAATCAAATTAATTAGGTTACAGAAGACTTGGACTCTGTAGACCGACGTTAGTTGACATTAGTTGCTTCCAAATTCTTGGCTTGTTGGGTTCTATGTTCACCATAGGGTGGGTGAGATTCTTTTTTTTTGGCGGGAGACAAACTGCAACTGAGGTACACGCCCCCAGCGGGGACCGAACCCAGGACTCTCTGGTCCACAGGCCGACACTCTAACTGCTGAGCCAAACCGGCCAGGGTGAGAGTGTTTATATGATGATGTCTTTTTGTGACTGCACAACCCAGCCCATTGCTCCACGCAGACTCAGACCACGAAGATAAGAAGCCCCGTAGCCGTTTCTTAGGCTATTAGTTGCCTAGGGCGACCGTAGCAAAGTACCACAAACAGGCCGGCTTCAAACAAAAGAAACGTACTGGCTCCCGTCTGGAGGTAGAAGTCTGCAGCCAGGTGTCAGTGGGCCTGCATGCCCACCAGCACCTGTAAGGGCTGCTTCCTTGCCCCTTCCTAGCTTCTGGTGGTCTGCGGGCAATCTTGGGCACTGCAGCTACATAGCTCCGGTTCTGCCATTGTCATCACATGGCATTCTCTCTGTCTTCATGGCCACATTCTCCAGGACATCAGTCACATTGGAGCAGGGCCCCACTCAATTCCAGTATGACTACGAGTTCACCAATTACATCAGCAACAACTCTACTTCCACATGGAATCCGTTCAGAGGGGTCTGTCCTTGCCTGGGAGAGGCAAGGGGCCTGGAGTGAGCCAGGCTGGCAGGCTTGGTTAGCACCTTCCGACCTTCCACAGGGCCCCACACTCAGGCAGAAGGTAGGAGCAGAAGCAGAACTGATCAGGAAGTGCCCTGGCCAGTTTGGCTCAGCAATTAGAGCACTAGCTCATGGTCCAAAGGGTCATGGGTTCGATTCCGGTCAAGGGCATGTACCTTGGTTGTAGTTCCGTCCCCGGCCCTGGGTGGGGTCCTGCAGGAGGCAGCCAATTGATGTGTCTCTCTCACATCCATGTTTCTCTCTCTCTCTCTCCCTCCCACTCTATCTGAAGATAAATGGAAAAATATCCTCAGGTGAGGATTAAAAAAAAAAAGATCAGGAATGAAAAAGCTAGATGAAGGAAAGACAAAGTCAAGATAAAAGTGGAGCAGACAAAATAGAGCAGGAAAAACTAAGAAAAATCACCTTTAAAAAACTTTTTAGCATTACACAGAAACAACAGAAGTTCTCAGAACAAAACATCCTCCTGATAATCAGGAAAACTACATTCATATAAAAATAGGTAACTGAAAAATGTCAAGGCCAAATTCCATACGAGGGCTCTGTGTGCTCTCAGTAAAAAGTCCTATTTGAGAATTTTTCACGTCTTGTGAGAATGAATTAAATACTCATTTTTGCCACCTTAAAATTTCATGAGGAGAAAAATTCAAAATCTCGACAAATTACTTTCAATTTAGACATACTTAAGAATGTAGAAAAAAATAAAATAAAACACATTGCTAAATGTATTAAAAACACATTTAGCCCTGGCTGGTTTGGCTCAGCGGTTGGAGTGTCGGCCTGCGGTCCTGAGAGACCCGGGTTCGGTTCCCGCTAAGGGCGCGTACCTCGGTTGCAGTTTGTCCCCGGCCCTGGTCGGTTGTGCGGGTGGCAGCTACTCGATGTGTTCCTTTCACATCGATGTTTCTCTCTCTCTCTGTTCCTCTCTCTCCCTCCCACTCTACCTGAGCCAAAAATGGAAAAATGTCCTCGGGTGAGGATAAAAAAAAACAAAAACAAAAAAAAACACATTTAATCTTACTAATCAACTTTCAATTGGTGACTACTGAAATTATAATATTCTAAGTTTTAAATTATTCTTTAGACATTCTTTTTTTTTTTTTCCTCACCCGAGGACATTCTTCCATTTTTTGTTCAGATAGAGTGGGAGAGAGAGAGAGAGAAAAAAACATTGACGTGAAAGGGACACATCGAGTGGCAGGGCCCAACCAGGGCCGGGGACAAACTGCAACCGAAGTATGTACCCTAAGCAGGGACCCGGGTCTCTCTGGACTGCAGGCCGATGCTCTACCTGCTGAGCCAAACCGGCAAGGGCTCTTTAGACATTCTTGATCTTTAGTTCTGTTAAATTTTTTTTAAATGATTTTTCTTTATTGAATTTTTGAGAGAGAGAGAGAGGAAGGGAGAGGGAGAGAGATCTAGAAACATCAATGAGAGAGAACATCGTTTGGCCACCTCCTGCATGCCCCCCACTGGGGTTTTGGCCCACAACCTGAGCATGTGCCCTGGCTGGGAATTTAACCGGCGACCTCTTGGTGCAGGGTCGACACTCAACCGCTGAGCCACAATGGCCGCGCGATCCTTAATTCATTTTTTCATTTGGTTTGGCCTTGATTTCGGCCAAATATTGACTTTAACTCTTGGCCCTTCAGCATTTGGAAAATAAATATCATTGTATCTCAATCTGTAATATTTACTGTGAACGACAAAAGAACATGGATTCTCAGGGAGCTGCTTCCTCCCGAAAGGAGAATCAAGAAGGAGTTGAACTGTGTACCCTCAACCTCCCTTCCTTGACCCATTGATCAGATTAAGTCATTATCAATGATCTACTGCTGTTTTAAAACCACCTGAAAATTTAGTGGCTTAAAACAATAATATTACCTCTTTGTAATACTGTGGGTTGTGCTCATTTCAGCAACACATATACTAAAACTGGAAAAATAAAGAGAAGATTAGCATGGTCGCTGCGCAAGGGCGGCACTCACATTCATGAAGTGGCCCGTGTTTTTAAGGGTCAATTAATCAAGAAGATGTAACGATTGTAAACATATATGCACCCAACATTGGAGTACCTAAATATATTCAGCAATAGTAACAGATCTAAAGGAAGTAATAGACAATAATTCAGTAATGGTACAGGGCTTCGATACTCCACTTTCAGCCGAGATAGATCATCCAGACAGAAAATCAACAGGGAGTAATTGGAGTTGAACCATACATTACACTAAATGGACCTAACAGACATTTATAGAACGTTCTCCAGGACAGATCATATGACAGGCCACAAAGTAAGTCTTAGAAAATTTAAGAAACTTGAACTCATACCAACTATCTTTTCTGATCACAGTGGTATAACTAGGATCAAGAAGAGAAAAGTGGGAAAATGTACACGCATGTGGAAACTAAACAACACGCTCCTGAACAAGCAGTGGGTGAAAGAAGAAATAAAAAGGGATATTGAAAAAAATCTCAAAACAAATAAAAATGGAAAGAGAGCACACCAAAACCTAAGGGATGTTGCAAAAACAGTCTTGAGAGGGAAGTTTCTAGTGATAAACGCGTATTTTAAGAAAATAGAAAGATCTCAAATAAACAACCTAATTTTACGTCTCAAGGAACTCGAGAAAGAAAAACAAACGAAGCCCCAAATTACCAGAAGGAAGGAAATAACAAAGTTCAGAGTGGAAATAAATGAAATACAGGTCAGAAAAACAATAGAAAAGATCAATGAAACTAAGAGCTGGTTTTTCAAAAACATAAACAAAATTGACAAACCTTTAGCTAGAATATGAAAAAAAGAGAGAAGACTCAAATTCATAAAATCAGAAAGTAAAAAGAAGACGTTACAACTGATTTTACAGAAATTCAAAGGATCGTAAGAGACTATGAGCAATTATAGACCAGTAAATTGGATAAGCTAGGGGAAATGAATAAATTCCTAGAAACATACAACCTACTATGTCTGAATCATAAAGAAATAGAAAATTTTGACAGACCAATAATAAGTCAGGAAATTGAATCAGTAATCAAAAAACTCCCAACACAAAAAAATCCGGGAGCAGATGACCCTACTGCTGAAATCTACCAAACATTTAAAGAAGAACTAACAGCAATCCTTTTCAAACTCTTTCAAAAACTTAAAGAAGAGGGAACACTTCCAATTTTCTCCATTTTATGAGACCACATTACCTGGATACCAAATCCAGATAAGGATTACAGAAAAAGAAAACTATAGAACAATATCCCAGATGAATATAAATGCAAAAATCCCCAACAAAATATTAGCAAACTGAATTCAACAATATCTTAAAAGGATTTGCACTGGCCAGTTTGGCTAGAGTGTCAGCCCACAGACCAAAGTGTCATGGGTTCGATCCCAGTCAAGGGCACATGCCTGGTCAGGGTCGTGTGGGAGGCAACCAGTTGATGTGTCTCTCTAACACTAGCGTTTTTCTCTCTCTCTCTCTCTCTCTCTCTCCCCCTTTCCACTCTATCTGAAGATAAATGAAAAAATATCCTTGGGTGAGGATTAAAAAAATAAAAAGGGATCACAAACCTTGACCGAGTGAGATTTATCTTTGGGATGCAAGGGCGGTTCAAGATACATAAATCAATAAATATGATATATCACATCAACAGAATGAAAGATAAAAATCATATGATTATCTCAATAGATAAGGACAGGCATTTGACAAGATACAATATCTGTTCATTAAAAAAATCCTCAAGGAGCCCAGCTGGTGTGGCTCAGTGGATTGAGCATCGTCCCATGGACTGAGAGGTCCTGGTTCAATTACCAGTCAGGGCACATGCCCAGGTTGCAGGCTCGATCCCCAGTAGGGGGTGTGCAGGAGGCAGCTGATCAATGTTTCTCTCTCACATCCATGTTTCTCTCTAAAAACAAAAACAAGCCCTGGCTGGTTTGGCTCAGAGGTTAGTGTCGACTTGCGGACTGGAGAGTCCTGGGTTTGGTTCCTGCTAAGGCATGTACCTCGGTTGCAGTTTGTCCCCGGCCTTGGTTGGGGTCGTGTGGGTGGCAGCCAGTTGACGTGTCTCTCTAATGTTGATGTTTCTCTCTCTCTCTTCCTCCCTTTCTCCCTCTTGCTCTATCTAAAGATAAATGCAAACATGTCCTCGAGTGAGGATAAAAAAACAAAAACAATAAAACAAATAAAAAAAATCCTCAATGAATTGTGTAGAAGAAACATGCCTCAACATAATGAAGGTCATATGTGATAATCCCACAGCTAATTTCATACTCAATAGTGAAAATTGAAAGCTTTTCCTCCAAGAGCAAGACCAGTGTCCACTGTCACCACTCACATTCGAGATAGTACTGACAGTCCTGGCTGGAGTAATCAGGCAAAACATAAAATGAAAGGCACCTGAATTGGAGAGGAAAAAGTAAAATTGTCATGATGGTTTGATCTTACATATGGAAAATACTAAAGACTCGGCCAAGAAACTGCTACAATTAATCAACGACCTCAGTAAAGTTGCAGGATATAATGTCAACATACAGAAATCAGTTGTGTTTCTATACACTAACAATGAAATATCTGAAAAAGAAATAAAGAAAACTATTCCATTCACAAGAGCATCAAAAACAATAAAATACTTAGAAATAAATGTAGCCATGGAAGTGATCTGTACAATAAAAATGATAAAATTTTAATAAAAGAAATGGAAGGAGACACAAATGGAAAGATAGCTCGTGTTCATGGATAAGAAGAATTAATATGGTTAATATGTCCATGCTACCCAAACCCATCTCTAGATTCAGTGCAATCCCTATCAAAATCTACAGGCATTTTTTTTTTTTTTTACAGAAATAGGAAAAACTATCCTAAAATGTGTATGAAACTACAGTAGACCCTGACTAGCCAAAGCAGTCCTGAGAAAAAAGAACAAAGCAGAGGCATTATGCTTCCTGATTTCAAATTGTACTACAAAGCTATAGTAATTAAAACAGTATGGTCCTGGCATAAAAACAGACACATAGACCAATGGAACAGACTGGAGAGCTCAGAAATAAGTCCCTGCATATACTGTGAACTGATGTTTGGGAACGGAGCCAGGAACTGAATGGGGAAAGGAAGTCTCTTCAACAGATGTGCTGGGAAAGCTGGACAGCCACATGCAGAAAAGTGAAATTGGACCCCACCTCACACCACTCACTCACAAAAATTAACTTGAAACAAATTGAAGACTTAAACATAAGACCTGATACTGTAAAACTCATAGGAGAAAACACAGGGAAGAAGCTCCTTGACACTGGTGTTGGCAATGACTTCTGGGATGTAACGCCAAAAGTGCAAGCCACAAAAGCAAAAATTGACAAGTAAGACTACATCAAACTAAAAAGCTTCTACACAGCAAAAGAATCAACAAAATGAAAAGGCAACCTGTGGAATGGGAAAAAAATCTTTATAATCCAGATATCAGACAAGGAGTTAATATCCAAAATATATAAAGAACTCATACAACAGCCAGGCCGGTGTGGCTCAGTGGATTGAGTGTCATCCGGTGCACCAAGAGGTCACCAGTTTGATTCCTGGTCAGGGCACATGCCCAGATTTCAGGCTTGATCCCCAGTACGGGGTGTGCAGGAGGCAGCCAACTGATGTTTCTCTCTCATCGATGTGTCTATCTCTTCCTCTCCCTTCCTCTCTATCAAAAAAGAACGCATACAACAACAACAAAAGTTAAAATTGGGCAGAGGAACTAAATAGTTATTTTTCCAACAGACATATCCTAATGAGTAACAGGTACACAAAAGATGCTCACTGTCACTAATGATCAGGGAAATGCAAATCAAAACCACAGTGAGATACCACCTGTTAGAATGGCTATTTTCAAGAAGACAGGAGAGGACGTGGAGAAAAGGGAACTCTTGTGCACCGATGGTGGGAATGTAAATTAGTTTCAACCCCTAGGGAAAACAATGTGGAGATTCCTCAGGAAATTAAAAATACCACTACCCTATGACCTAGCAATCACATTTCTGGATATACATGAAATAAACAGGATATTCAAAAGATATCAGCACGTCCATGTTCATTGCCGCATTAGTCCCAATAGCCGAGGTAGGGAAGCAACCTGAGTGTGTGTTAATGGGTGAATGGAGAAAGCAGCTGTGTCATGTGTCTATGATGGACCACAAGTCAGCATGAGAAAGAAGGAAACCCTACATTTACAAAAGCATGGATGAACTTGAGGGCATTATGTTTGGTGAAATAAGCCAGGCAGTGAAAGACAAATACTGCATGATATCACTTATATGTGGGACCTAAAAAAGCCAAACTCGTAGGATCAGAGAGTAGAATGGTGGTTACCATGGCCTGGGAGGAGGTGAACTGGGGAGATGTTAGTCAAAGGGAACACACTTACAACAAGAGGAATACGCTCTGAAGGTCTAATGCTCAGCATAGTGATTATAGTCAACAACTCGGTAGTAAACACTTCAATGTTGCTAAAAGACTCCATATTAAATGTTCTTACCACACACATGCAGAAAAGAAATGGTAATCATGTGACATAATAGAGGTGTTAGCTTGAGCTATAGTGGTAGTCATGTTGCAATATATAAATGTCAGATCAACACATTGTACACCTTGGCTTACACATGTTGTATGTAAAGTATAGGTCAATTAAAAGTGCTGTGGGTCATCAGTTTGCACCGGCTCCACCGGGGTCTTTCCGCTGGTCCTGTCGGCCCACACGTGGAGCTACAGTCATCAGCAGCTTGAGGGGCTAAGGTGAGCTCTTGCATGTCTGGTGCTGGTTCTGGCTGGGCGGGGCCCTTCTCCCATGTCTTCTCTGGTCCTTAGACGTCTAGTCTGGGCTCCTCTACGCAGGGGCCCATAGAAGGGACTAGAGCAGAAGGAGCAAGGCCCTCGAGGCGGGGAGGCTCAGAAGCCACAGCCATGGGCTGCGCCGCACTCTGGGGTGAGGGGCTCACGGGCCAGCCCTGACTGCTGGCTGCAGAGAGACCCTGCCAAGGGCCTGC